AACGTTAGGAAACAAAACCTCCAGAACACGGTCACACAGCCCGGAAGACCCACACCAGCCAACTTTGTTTGAATTTATTTGGCCAGTGGATTTCTTTCTTTCAACTGGCTGCTATTTCTGCCAGAAAGATTTATTTTCATTAATCATTTTAACATTTACTTATTTATTTATTTAACCATTCTTATAGATCACTACACTCCAATCAGACTCCTGGTGGCTTACAGCATTTCCATTTATAAAATGAAATCATATTGATCGCTTAAACACCATTGCAAAAAAGAAGAAAAACAGATTTTATAAACACAAATAAAAGCATAAATAAAACAATAAATCAATAATAAAAAAAACCAGACAGTTCCCAATCATCCATTAATAGCAACAATCTGTCTTTGAACACTCTACGAAAGAACTTTATCTTCAACACTTTCCAGAATGACAAAAGAGAGGATCTCATACAAATAACGGAGGTAAAGAATTCCAAAGAATGGGACTATTCCTGCCTATCCCACAAACCTCATTTGAGGGGCAATCCACACCTTTCTGACTATTGATGGATGGACTAGAGAGGTTGGTTCAACTTGCTAGAGTCCTGAGTGTACTCAGGTCCAAGCCATGAAGGCTTTTTAGGTAATAACAGGCATGTTATTGGTAGCCAATGCAGCGTACAGCATTTGCAACACTGCTGTTATATGGTTAAGGCAGTTCTTACCCACCAATAAGTGCAATTCTGCATTTTTTTTTTACCAGTTAAAGCTGTATTTGTCAGTGGCAGGCCCATGTAAAGTGCAATTGATGTCTCTATATGGCATCATTCAAAAGAGACAATAAAAAGGAAGCAAAAGACCAGAACACCTCCTCACCAGCAATCATCACCCAGATAAGCAGACATTAACACCAAGATTATCACCAGACATACAATCAAGCAGTGAACAATATCCTAATCAAGGAACGACCAGGAAAAACACACGTGCACACACACACACACACCTACACAGGCAGGGCAAGCCACTGTATATAAACAGAGAGCAAACTCTACTCCATTTTAGCACTGAAGATGTTACCTAGCCAGGTAACAAAACGTTTGCAGGAAAACAACCAAGCTTAGAAAACTCAAAGGACTCCACAGATGAGGAAAGGCAAATTAAACAGAAATGTGTCCCATTTGTATGACAAAAGGTAGCACAGGCAGTGTCAACCACCCAGTGACCACCTGACCAAAATTGTATACAGCCCTAAATCAGCAAAGGAACAATCCATGTAGCTTGAAGTGCTAAATGGAATAACCCTGAGTAGGTAACAATGACTGCAACATGCTTTTAAGATTTACTGTATTTTTGTTCCTGTACCAGATTGGGTGGGGGATGCGGTGGTACAGCGGCTTGATGCTGAAAGTTGCCGGCCAGAAATGGTTGAAATGGTCAGCGGTTTGAGCCCATCTC